TGTGCCTCCCCCACCCGCCTCTGAGCGGAGGTCCTCCTAGGAGCCTCTTGGCCGCTGTGCTCCACAAACCCTCTGGCTGAGGATTTGGGCCAAGCAGTCAGGACTTGGGGACACTTTCCCCCCGACTCATCTCCACCGGCAGAGCAGCACCGGATGGAGACAGGCCCAGCTGGGCCTCCGATCGCGCCTCTGACCCCAGCTGGACATCCCTCCTGCGGGCCAGGCCCGGCTGCAGTTCCTGAGAGGGGTCCCCAGGGCTGCGCTGCTGCCAGACCTCGGGCGGCGGGGCTGTTGGCGAGAGGGGCTTCCCCAGGGTCACAGCAAACCTTGAGTTCGGCGCCCCGGCTGGAAGCCCCTCCGTCTCCCACCAGCTAGGCTCTCGCCCGGGACTGGTGAGACCGGGGTGGCCCGATTACCAGGCAGAGGGCAGGGCTGGGGAAGTCTCCCAGGGGGACGCGTGTCCAGGCTGGGCCAGGGACCGTGACAGCTTCATGAGTGTGTGAACACACATGTGTGTATACATATTAGGGTTGTCAGATAAAATCCAGGACACACACAAATTTGAATTCCATATGAATGAATCGTTTTTAGTGTATGTCCCACATACTGTGTCTTGTGCTTTCTGTGCACTGGATGCAAATGAAATCATTTCTCTGGGTGTGAGCACCATTGCGATGCTGTTTTACGTGTAGGTGTACGAATAAAGGTGCCCGAGCGTGCGTGTGAGCACATGGGCATCTACATGTACCGAAGCACAGGAAGTGTCTGTGTGTGTACGTCACACACACGTTGCAGGATCTTACGTTGGGAGGCAGCTGAGCTCTCCTGTGGGTAAATTTACCCTTGGGGAAACCGAGGTTGGGTGTGCACGCGCATGTGTGTGCGTACAAGAGCCCTGGCCGCTTGCCAGGTGCTGCAGCCCAGCAGCGTCGTGACCCTTTCACGCACAGGGAAAGGCAGCTGGAGCGCGGCTGGACACCTCCCCTGCCCGGCTGCGCCGATCTGCGTGTGCTTGCACTTGGGTTACAGAACCGCTGGGCTGGAGGCACTCAGGCCAGATGCTCGACCTCTTCCTGGAGCCAGATGGCAGCTGATCCGGGAGGTCGTGCGTTTTTGAGCTCCTGCTGGCCCCTTCTCCTGCCCCTTCTGGAATTTTCCCGAGGCACGGAAGGGGCTGGGGCCCCTCGAGCACTTTGTTCTGAACCGATTGCCTGGGCTGGGAAGTGGCCTCCCCTGGCAGGAGCTCAGGCCCTGAGACGGTGTCCGCGGGGACGGGGGCGTCTGAGGGCTCCTCGCACAGGGCCCTCCCGTGCGGCAGCCTGGTGCCCCGGGTGGGCCCCGGTGTCACCTGGTGTGTGCCCCAGTCTTCCCTGAGCCTTGCTCTTCCTGGGTGAGAGGTCACAGCCAGCCGACCTGATAAACCCTCTGTATTTCCAGGGCTGCGGGACAAAGCACCACCGCCCGGCAGCTGAAACAGCAGAAACCTATTTTCTCACAGTCCTGGGGGCTGGAAGTCCTTGGCTTGCAGCGGACATCTTCGCCCTGTACCTTCCCACGGCCCTCCCTCCGTGTGTGTCTGTGTCCAATTTCCTCTTCTTGGAAGGACACCTGTCCTACTGGATCAGGGCCCACCCTAATGACCTCTTTTTCACTTATTAACCCTTTAAAGGCCTAGTTGCACATACGATCACATTCTGAGGTCCTGTGGGTTATGGCTTCGGCATCCAAATTTGGGGAGGGAAACACGACTTACCCATGATGCTCATGATGGTGCGTTCTGGGGGAGGGCTCCTCCCACCCCCAGCCCCCCATCCCCAGCACTCCAACTTCCTGCTCTTTGTTTCAACAAATGAGAGCTTTACTGAAGGCACAATGGAGTCACTGCAAAGGTCCAGGTGGGGGGACATCATTAGTCCTCCTCCCACCTTGAAAAAAGGCTCTGGACAGCAGGAAGCACGGCAGCTCAGGGCGCAGGGGACGGGAGGGGCCGCTAGTGCCCCCGCTGCTCTGCACGCTGAACAGCAGGGCCCGGCGCCGGGCCCCCGGGGGGCGGGGGGCAGTCCAGGGAAGGCCCCAGAATGCCTGGGACACTGGGTGTGGCCCTGCCACCTCCTCTGGGCCCGTGTCCCCATTTGTGAAAAGGGCCTGCTGGGCAGGATGATTCTAGAGCCCTCAGGTTGGACACTTGGCATTTATTCTGGGCGAGGGGCCAAGGGACCAAGGGGCCGGTGGCCACAGCAGCAGGCGGGGCGGGACAGTGCGAGGCACCTGAGCTAGTTCCTGTCTGATCGTTGCTGTAACAAATCGCCACAAGTGTAGCGGCTTCGAACAAGACCAATTTCCTACCCTACCTACCGTCCAGGCTCAGGAGTCCGCACCAGTCTCACCAGCTAAGACCGAGGCCCTGCAGTGCTGGCTCCTCCGGGTCCCCGGGGAGAAGCGGCTCCCGGTCCTGTGGCCTCTTCCTTCGTCTTCACAGCCGGCGGCGCAGACGGCCCTCACAGAGCATCGCTCTGCGCTCTCCTCCTCCGCCCCCTCTCGCTTTAGGTGATCACATTCAGCCCAGCTGGGCCACCCGGCCCGCCTCCCTGTTTGAGGGTCAGCTGCTGAGCTCCGGTGGCTCCACCTGCTCTTCCCCAATGCCGTCCAACATGATGTCGTCGCCGGTTCCAGGGATTGGGGCATGGGCATCTTCGGGGGCCATTGCTGCGTTTACCACAGCGCACCCACAGTCCTCTGCTGCGGGCAGTGGGGACTGTCACCGTCACCCTTGATTTACCTGCAGCTCGGCAAGGGCTACAAGCCCCCGCTGCCCCGCGGTGGGGCAGGGCAGGGCTTCAAGGCCGCAGCTGCCCCGCCAGGAGGCCTGGCTCACAGCCCCGCCGACACCCCTGGACTTTGCTCCCGGCCTCCCCGTCCCCCGACTTCAGACCTTGGCAGGGTGGGCACTTGGCCCTGGGGCTGTGCTCAAGGCACACTTTGACCTTGAGACGGGCAGGCCAAGACCACGCGTGAGGCCCAGGGTTCCGGGTAGGATCAGCCTCAGTCCTTTCTGCCTCCTCCCTCCACCCTCCCTGGGGGTGGGAAAGACCCAGGAAACAGCAGCAGCATAGTCCTCGTGGTTGAGGGAGAGGACGGGAAGCCAGCACAGGCCCGCCATGACCTCCAGCCTCCACTCTCCGCCGACGCCTGTCCTTCCGAGACCCCAGCCTCCTGGCCCCTCCAGGAGCACTCAGGGGAGTGGCGGGGACTGCACGGGGCTGGGGTAGGATGCGCAGTGCAGGACAGGTTCCCAAGGGCGGGGGCGAGGAAGGAGGGCAGAGCCCCCACCTCTGCCCCGCCGTCTGCTCGGCACGTCAGGAGCCTCCGTGGGACCTGCAGGGTGTTACTGAAAGAGGTCGGGACCAGCCAGGGTTCCAGGTTGGAAGTGGGGGCCTTCAGTCATGGTGGTCTGAACACCCTCGGGGCGCAGGTGAGGCGGACACCTCCTGCGCCCCTGCCGGGCTGCACCCTGGGGTCTAGAGAGAAACCAGGGCCTTGGGACGGGGCCTGGGGTGCGGGGCGTCAGCCCTGGGGACACCATGACCCGGAGGGTGCAGGGTCCCTGCGGCAGGAGGGGAAGGTAGCCGGGCCTGAGGGTGGGGCCTGTGGGGCCCTGCTCGGGAGACCGGCCTGGCCGCGCTCCATCATCGGCAGCAGGGCTCCTGGGACAAGCGTGTGCTGCCCGGTCCCCACAGGGAAGCTGTTTTCTTCCCTCAAAGGATCCTGGGTGTAACGGGTAGGCATGTGTCCCCAAAAAGGAATGTTGCCGCCTGAACCCCCAGTGCGTACGAATGTGACCTGATTTGGAAAGAGGGTCTTCGCAGGTGTGACTCGGATGTAAGTTAAGGTGGAGGCTGGGCCCTAGTCCAACATGGCCGCTGTCATTAGGAGGAGGGGAGACAGACCTAGACCCAGGGAGAAGGTCCTGTGACGCCGGTGACGCCGGAGGCAGATGCTGGAGTGACGCGGCCGCCGGGGGTGGTCGCACGAGCAGGGGCTGGGGGAGTCCAGGAGGGGCGCTGCCCAGCTGTCGGGCAGTGTGGCCCTGCCCTCGCCTCAGTTCCGGGCTGCAGACCCCTAACAGTGAGGGGGCGCTTCTGTGTTTAAAGCTATTGGCTCCTGGTCCTTCATTCTGGCCGCCCGGGCAACCAGCCCCTGTGTGTGGGCGCCAACGTGCAGCTCCCGGGCCTCCCCAGACGGACCACGCGGAGCGGGGAGTGTGGGCCCCGGGCAGACCGCAGACCGGCAGGCTGATTCCTGTCCTGCTGTGCTCCTCCTGCTGGGCCGCCGTGGCCAGTCACCTCCTCCCTTGGGCCTCAGTTTTTTCATCGATGCAATGGGTACATGGATCACCCCACCCCACACTCCCCACAGGCAGGTGCGGCTGCTCGGAGAGTCCTGCTATCGGTCATGGGCACGGCCTCTTTGCCTCCTGGCCCTCGCCCCTCTCTTCCCTCTGCCCAGAACACTGTTCCCCTCCTTCCTGGCCAGCTCCACTCACCTCCTGCCTCTGCCCTCCCCAGCACCCCTGCCCTGGCACCCCGCCGCTGGGGGGAGATCCCGCAGGCCCCTCATTGCAACTCTCCTCAGCGCTTGCCCACATCCCCCCGGGGTGCGGGCCGAGGTCGGGGGAGCAGCGCAGAGTCTGGAGACCGGAGTGGGAGGGTCCCCAGGGCAGAAGTCCGGCAGCATCACTGGGGGAGCTGGGCAGAGCCACCGGTGCCCCAGGTGCTGGAGGGCGCCCCAAACTGGGCCTCGGGGAGAAGGGACCAACCAGCCCGGGAAAGTCCAGGAGCCCATTGTCCTCTGACCACCTGCCCCGTGGCCCTCCCGGGAGTGAAGAAATCAGCTTCCCTATGTTGACAGAGACTCTGCCCCCAAGCCCCGCCCCCGCCCACGTTGACAGATACTCCCCAGCCTGGAAACACGCATCACTCAAAGGAGAACCACACGGGGGGGTCCGCTTGCATATCGCCTGTATTGTCACATGAAATGCACCTCCATAACGGCTGACTTGGAAACGACCTATTAGGTCACACGGAGTCCGGCCCCTGGGGGCCAAAGTGGCACCGATGCCCATGGGCTTCCCACAGGCTGTGGCACTGGTCAGCGCTGGGAGAGGCCAGCTCACACCTCCGGCCCTTCGGCTCCTGGGCAGCTTCTCCCAAACTGAGCTGGAGGAGACTGCGGTTCCTTAGGGGTTAATAGCTGTCCCACGAGAAAAGCGTTCTGTGGTCAAATAAGCTCAGGGAACTTGGGGCGACACAAGGTCCGGCAGAAAACGACCGGAAGCTGCTCTGCAGGACTTGTCAGAGCCTTTACGGCAACACCCACCCTTGTGAGTGTCCAAGGGGGCAGAGGATGCAGCATTCCCCGAATTTAGTTGACCACGAAACCCTTTTCCTCCCCAGGCCGGTGTCCAGGGGTGCCCTGTGGAAAGGGCTGCCCTAAGCTATCGACGGCCCTGGCTGGCACCTGTGTGGGTGGTGGGTCGGGGGCATTTTGCTGGGCGCTGTGCTGCGGCGCGATGGGCGCGGCCAAGAACTCGACAGGCATGGTGACTCAAGGACGAGACGCGGTCCCTGTCCTGCCGTCTTGGTTCTCACCGGCTGCCTCCAGAGCGGAAGCTAAGCAGGGCTGTCCCCACGTAGGGCCCGGGCTGCCTGGCGAGAGGCTCAGCGCCCCAGCCAAGGAGTGGGGGGCCTGGCGCTCCCAGACAGGCCAGCCTCCTGTTTGGCCCGCCTGAGGTTGCCAGCGTCCAGCCGGGAGGGGGAAGAGAAGGTGAGGCTGCGCAGTCCGCCCGTCCCCACCGGCCTCGCTGCCCCTGCCAGCTCTCTCGGGCCGCAAGCCGCACACACAGGCTCACCAGGCGGAGATGAGCATCTGGCAGGTGTTGGAGGACATCCAGACCAGCTCCACCAGGCGGAACTGAAGGTAGCCGATGACGAAGCCCGAGATGACGTCCGTGATGTGGTGGCGCCCGATCATCACGCGCGACAGGCCCACGCAGAAGGCCCAGAGCACCAGCAGGATGCGCAGGGGCACCGCCAGCACCAGGTGGCTGAGGAAGAACTTGGAGACCATGGCCGCACGGCTGGCGTGCCCGGCGGGGAAGGCGTAGACGTCCATGGTGAGGTAGTCCAGGAGGCTGGGGCTCGTCTCAAAGGGGCCACGCCGCTTGATGAGCTTCTGCACACCAGCCACCGTCATGATGTCCAGGAGCAGGGCTGCGGGCGGGACAGAGGGGCCCCGAGGGGCCGTCAGTGCCGCCTCCTGCCTCCTGCCTCCTGCCTCCTGCCTCCCTCCTGCCCCCCCTTCCTGCCCCGCCTTCTGCGCTCGCTGCTGTGCAGTTCCCTCCTCCTGGCATGCCCTTCCCTGGGACACCCACACAGCGCACGCCCTCGCTTCTTCCGGGGGAGGTGCCTTCCCTGACCACCTGTCCACGAAAGGCCCGTCGCCCTCTATCCCCTGTTCCTGCTTTCTTTTTAAGAATATTTTATTTATTTATTTTTAGAGAAAGGGGAAGAGAGGGAGAAAGAGAGGGAGAGACACATCAATGTGTGGTTGCATCTCATGTACCTCCTGCTAGGGACCTGGCCTGCAACGCAGGCATGTGCCTGGACTGGGAATCGAACCAGCGACCCTTTGCTTTGGAGGCCGGTGCTCAATCCACTGAACCACACCAGCTGGGGCTGCTTTATTTTTCTTTCGAGCATTCCTCCCTGCCCGACACTGTCCTGTTTTCTCCTGCCTTTCTCTCTTCTCTCTCCCCCTACAGGGTGCGCCTGTGAGGGCCAGGACCGATCTGCTCGCAGCTAGGAGGGGATCGCTGAAGCTGCTGAACGAGACAGTGGGTGATCGGGCATCACAGGCCTCTGAGGGCACCTCAGACGACCTGAATGCTGATAAATGGGACCCTGGGCTGGGGATTGCTTTTTCAAAGGACCTCACCGAAGCCCCCGCCAATCCTGAGAATTGCACGTTACCGTCCACATTTGTCTAAAGTGGGGTGAAATCCACATAACATTCAATGAACCGTTTTTAAGCATCCACTTCAGGGGCATTTAGTACACAAGAGGTAGTACACTACCTCTACCCAGTTCCAAAACCCTGAAGTGAAACCCTGTGTCCATTAAACAGTTACTCCTCGACCCCTGCCCCTGGCAGCCCCCGACCTGCTTTCTGTCCCTACAGCTTTGCGTATGCTAGACCTTGCCTATAAAGGGACCCGGTCCCCACATGTGCCTGGCACCCGGGGACAGCTGAGAAGGATGACCGTCAGCTGACTCCGCTGTGGCCTGGCGCCGGGCGCTTTCCTAGAACCTGTGTGGTGGGTGCCAACATTGCTGGCCCACAACCACTCCCGCTCAGGAAAAAAACCATTGAAAATAATCACACAGTAGATGTTCACGGTAGAAAATTTACAAAAGGTTTGCAATCACCTGTAGCCTGGCCACCCAGAGGCAGCCACCGTTCCACCCTTCTGGCCCCCGTAGAGCTCAGATTTAATAAAAGCAGTGACATGCCCTCCACACGCTGTGTGGTGACCTGCATTGGAAAGTGGCCACATCGTACACCCCCGGAATCCCACAGCGGTCGCGTAGGAGGCACCGTGGCTCATTTACAAAGCGGTCGGTTGCAGCGCCCAACGCCCAGATCGCCCCCGAGGAAGACGGTGCTGTCTGGTCAGGGCGGGACCGGTCAGCCTCCCGTGTTCCTGCCCGCCGCAGGGCTCTTGTTTGGGGTTTGAGCCCCTGCTCTCCCCCTGGGCTCGCCCTTCTCATGAGCCACAGGGCTGGCCGATGCCCCCTCGCCCCGGGGCATGTCTGGCCGGCAAGGTACAGGGGCAGAAGCAGGAAGCAGGGGAGGGAGAGGCTGCGGGCCCAGAGCGGAGAAGTGTAAGGAAGGGAGGCAACCTGTTCTCTACACGAGGGCCACGACTTTCCACGGCAACTTGTTCCCAGGAGCCCCCGCCCCCCAGGGCATGGGGGTCTGGGTGGTATGTGGCAGGGGCCAGCCAGCCTGCAAGCCACTGACCCCGGCAGAGGCCAGGCCCCAGCGGGGAGCCACGTGAGCCTGTGGGGGTCACAGCTCCAGCAGGAGAGAGCGACCGGCAGGGCAGCTGGGAGCCGGACCGAGGCGGCTGCCTCTGACCCCTGGGACTCTGGGCCGAAGCAGGCAGCCCGGGCAGCCAGGGCGGGAGGCCAGGCTGAGAGGAGTCCGCCAGCCCAGGGAGGCCCTTCCCTCTCTGAGTGACAGGCCCTCCCCGCCCAGGCCTCTGCCCCTTTGCCATGTGCCCCTGGGGGAACCGTGGGGCCAGCCTGGCTGTCCCGCTGGCCCAGCCCATCCTGTGCCTGGTTTATTCATTCACTTGACCCCCAGTTTGGGGGCATCCCCGGTTCTTGGGTATGTCAGGGGTGGGCCAGGCCTGGGGCTGGTAACCGTGGCAGGGTGTCACACGGCTGAGGAAGGGACAGGAAGTAAGCGACAGTTAAACAGAGTCCCTTTCCAGGCTGGATGCACCCCCAGGGCCGCCCCCTCCCTACACCGCAGCCCCGGGGGTGGAGATCTGGAGGATGCCCCGAGACCACAGGCCTGAGACCGCAGGCCGGCTCCCCAGCAGAGCCGACGATGACAGCCTGCCTGGGCCCCTCCTCCCACCCCTCCCTCTCCCCGCACCGCAGCCGCCCTCTGTGCCGGGATCCTGAACTGTCAGCGAATAATCTGGGGCCCAGAAATAGAAACCAATGGCGCCACCACTCAAGACTCCGTGAGTCCCGCTCACGCAGCCCGGCCGGCCTCCCTGACTACATCCCCTCCTGGATTGTGGGGGTGGCCAGCAAGCCCCCATAGGAAAGGTCCACCTGGTGGGAAGCTCAGGGCCCGCGGTCCAGAGAGGGGCTGACACCCACCTCCTCCGACCCGTTGGGTGACCAGGAAGGTCACTTAACCTTCCTGGGCCTTTGCTCACTGCACCTGGGCTCCAGAATCAGGGCGGCTCCAAGGTCGCCTGCTTGTACATGGCATGACCTTGGCACATCCCTCCCTCAAAACTCCCTCCCCTCATTGATAAAACAAGGGTCATCCCTGAGGCTACTCTGAGGCCCCATGGGGCAGGCCTCCCTGTCAGTGCTGCCTGGGAGGCGGGGCTTCCCCTCCCCCCTCACGCCCTCCCAACCCCCACCCTCAGCTCCTCCCACTAAACTGGGGTCTGAGATGCCTGAACCCCACCATGCAGGGAGCTGACTATTCCCCAGGCCCTGAAGTCCTGACCCCTGGCCCTCTTCCCTGGAGAGGGAGCAAAGATGGGGCTCCTGGCTGGCGGGGGAGGGGACAGGCTTGGGAGTTGTGCCTCTCGCTGGCTGGGGCTGGGAGGAGAGGTCCTGGCCCTTCTGCGCTGGCGGTAGACCCTGCCTCTGGCCCCCCGGCACTGGCTTCTCGGGGAGGGGGGGTGGGGACCAGCCAGTGGTGCTGAACACACATCCACTTTCTGGAGGGCATTTGGCCTCAGACTCAGGACGCTGTCTCTCCCACTTGCAGGTACGTCCTAGGAAATAATCAGGGCTGTGCGCTGTGACTCGCAGCCAAGGATGACCGCTGCGCACTCCCCACACCGCGGAGAGAGGGACGCGCACCAGCCCCACGCCCTTCACTGGCAGACGGATGGGACGAACTGCGGCCAAGTCTAGACAATGGAGCGCTCTGGGCCACGGTGAGGGATGAAGCGGGTGTGTATTTATAGCCACCGAAGCAGAGCAGGGGGTGGGGACGTGGAAAAAGCCAATTACCGGGCGGGATTTACAGTAGGGCGCCATTTTTGTAAAATTAAGATGCAGAGGAAACCCTCAGGCAGGCACCCCACGGAATGTACGGGTGCTTCTCGCCGGGCGAGGAGGCTGAGGGTGTCTTTTATTGTCTTTCTGTCATTCTGCATTTAACATTTTTTTCTATCCACAAACACACATTGTTTGTGCGCCTTTTTAAAACGTTATGATTAGGAAAGACAGGTATTGCATGACTCCACTTATGAGAGGTGCCTAGAATACAGGAATTCTTAGAGACAGGAAGTCGATTAGAGGCTCCCCGGGGCTGGGGCAGGGGGTAGAGACAGAGTGTTTAATAACGGGGACAGTTTCAGCCAGGGAAGATGAGAAAGCTCTGGAGATGGTGGAGGTGACTGTCACACAACAGAGCAACTGTGCTTAAGGCCACCGACCGTATGCTGAAGGACAGTCGGGATGGCCAGCTTGTTGTTACGCGTGTTGCAGCACACATGCAGAAAGTTATTTCAAAAACCCATGCACCGTCCCGGAGAGATACAGCCCCTGCGGAGCGTGCAGGGAGCAGAGTGGCTGGCTGGCAGGGAGGTCTGAGGGCCCTCCCGGTCTTGATGTCCCCTAGCCTGAGGGATTCTCCGTGAAGTCCGTAACTTTGCAGGTTTCTCTTTTCTCGCCTGAAGAATCCAGACCCTAAAGCCGGCTCTGGCTCTGAAGACGGTCAGGGCACAAGGGTGCCACAGTCACAGGCATAGAAGGTCCACAGCACCGTGTGTTCCCTCAGCCGAGCGCCAGGCTGCTGGGAGCAGCGTGGACGCGGGAGCGGTGGGGACCTGGCGCGTGCCGGCGGCTGCCTCCGTCCTCATTTCTGTATCAGCCGCAAGGGCAGCCGGCTACAGGGATGGAGCGCGAGGGCCCTGACCTGTCGGGGCACCAAAGGGCCCCCATGGGGACACGGGTCGGTGTGCTGGCCAAACCCCACCGAGATGATGACAAGTGAAGCCGGGAAAAGGGCAAGACGACGGAGCCGCGTCTGCAGAGTGGCGGTGTCATCTTCCACAGCAGTGCTCCTGACGGGGAAGGTCAGGGCTGACCCAAACAGCCCGCAATCGGGGACAGTCTATACAAGCCTTGCGAAGGGTCGGCACCTGGGCTGCCCAGGGGAGCAGGGCTGGTGGGTGGGGGAGGGAGAGCTCACAGAATAGACAATACAGAAGGGGCCTGGGGGAGGCGGATGCTGAGAGGCGCGGCGGCGGTGGGGCAGCGCTGCAAGGTTGAGGGAGCCGGTTCTGGGTTCTGAACCCCTCACGTGTGGACGGATGTGGGAGGCTGAGACCGTGACCCCGAACGGGAGGCCCAGGGCCCAGCAGGTCCAGCACGGGCGCTGAGAGCGAGGCCAAGCTGGGCCGCACAGCACAGCGGGTCGTTCGAGAGACGTGTGACGCGTGTGTGCACAGAGAAAACCCGGAGGCCCGCGGCCCACACCGCGGTGGAGAGGACTCCGGGGGAGGTGACGGTCACTTCCTCATTGTCTATACGTGTAATCGCTGCCTTTCCAGACCACCAGAGTGGCCCAATGCAAACGTGCTCGACGCTACGCTTCATGAAGGAAGTGCACATGGAAACCACCGTACCAGTGTCACACGAATCAGGGGGTTGTTGCCGAAAACAGGGAAAATAGCAGGTGCGGGCGAGGACGTGGAGAAACGAACCCTCGTGTGGGGCTGGCGGGGGCGCCAAATGGGGCAGCCGCTGCGGACAACAGCCCGGGTTCTTCTGCAGGCTACACGTAGGGAGATCTTTCGACTCAGCACGTCCGTGCCCGGTTCTGCACCCAAAGGGAGGGGGAGCAGGTGCCCAGGGGCATGTGGGCGCTCCCGCATTCACAGCAGCAACATCCGCCGCGGCCAGACGCAGGAGCCACCCGGGAATCCGTCAACAGGCGGTGCACAAAGGAAATGTGGCCCAGCCTCACAATGGAGTACTATTCAGCCACGAAAGGAAGGAAACGCTGACATGTGAGAAACACAGCCCCCCAGGAGGATGTCATGCTGAGTGGAAGATGCCGGTCACAAGGGACAACAACAGTGTGATTCCGCGTCTATGCGGTCCCTAGAGGGGTCACGTTCCTAGAGACAGAAAGTGGGTAGCGGGTGCCAGGGCCCAGGGGACGGGAATTGGCGTTCAATGGGGACAGAGCTCCGTTTGGGAAGATGAGAAAGTTCTGGAGCGGGACGGTGGCGGCGGTAGCACAACAAGGTGACTGTAGTTAATGCCACTGAGCTGGACACTTAAAGATGGTTAAAATGGCGAATCTCATGTGATATTTATGTCACCACAATAAAACAATGGCACAGGAAAAGAAGGCATGGTTTTCCTCATTGGGAAGCTCTCAGTAAAGATACGTTCAGAGATCATAACAACGAGACGCGGGGACCGCTGTCCCCAAGGGCAGGCCCCTGAGCAAACACGGACGGGCCTGGGCTGCCTGGCTCCCTTTGGGATCATCGAGCCAGGTGCCGCAGGGGAGGGACAATGGCGGGATGGGGCTCCTCACAGGCTGCGAGCTCGGAGGGGGCCTGGGTGACAGCGACGAGGGGGGTGTCAATCCTTGCTGTGCCAGCATTAGCTGGTGTTGCCATGTGCCGGCACTTCGCTCACACCTCTTCAGGGAGGTGTCCCAGCAGCCACTTAACCGAGGAGGGAAACGAGGACCAGAGGGGCACTGTCACTCGCAGCAGGTCCAGGGGACTCTGGAGCCCAAGTCTTTGCCAGCTGCCTTCTCTGGCTTCGAGGTCCCTGGAGTGGGCAGCATGCCCTGGGGGAGCGAGCGCAGGGGGCAGGGCAGAGAACCTCCTCTGGGCCCAGCTGGGCCTGTGGCTGGAGCCCTCATTTCTCCTGAGTGCTGTTCCGGACAGAGCAGTGCCCGGGCCCCAGCTGGGCAGGTGGAGGCCTCCGTGCAGCTCAGGGGCCGCCCCCATGAATCTACGGGGTGCCCCAGCGTGGGAGCGGGCGAGCAGGGCGGTGCAGGGCTCCCTCGCCCCTCGGGGCCCTGCGGTCTGCTTAACATTGGCCTCGGCCACCCACGGGGTGCTACCGTGGGCCGCTGCTGTGCCACACGCTTTTGCCCCTTGAACTCCCACCACAGGCCTGCAGCCCACGCACAGGTCAGGAAGCTGAGGCTCAGAGATGCGGGCGGACGCGACCAAGTTCAGAGAGCAGGTCAGGTGCAGGCAGGGGCCTGGACAAAGCCCAGTCCGACCTCAGAGCCTGTGCTCCAGGCCTGAAGGGCCCCACGGCCCCCTTTCCCCAAAGACTAGAGGACGACAGGACCCAGCAGACCAACGGCGAGGGGGCAGCCAGGGGTCTGGAGGACCTGGGCTTGGGCCCCCCACGGACTGCACACAGCTGGGTGGAGCGGGCAGGTCCCTTAACCCCTCTGGACCTCATTTAACTCATCTGTAACGTGTATTCGTATTTACTGTACAAGGTCATGAAAAAGGTGTTTAAATCATGAAATAGGGGGCATTCATGCATAGTATCTGGTACATAATGAAGCTCAATCAATGAAGTTTTAGAAAACCTAAAATGCCCTGGCTGGCGTGGCTCAGTGGCTTGAGCGCCGGCCTGTGAACTGAAAGGTCGTCGGTTCAATTCCCGGTCAGGGCCCATGCCTGGGTTGTGGGCCTGGTTCCTGGTTGGGAGCCTGTGAAAGACAACCCATTAATATTTCTCTTGCACATCAATGTTTCCCTCTGTCTCTTTCTCCCTCCCTTCCCCTCTCTCTAAGAATAAAAATGTAAAAATCTTAAAAAAAATAAAAGCGGCATCTGGGCCCTTGCTCTTGGGAGCAAACACCTTTGTGCCCCAGCAGCTGGCAGCTGGAACAAGCCAGAAACCTCCAAACAAGCAAGAGCCGCTCCCAGCTCTCACCCCACGTCTCCCTGCACCTCCGTTCACTCCTCCTTAAGTGGCGAAGAATAATGGCTTCTCCCCCACGGGGTGGTGGGGAGGCTCAGAAGTGGTGGTGTGGTTTACGGGAAATGGCCCACAGCAGACGCTGAACACATTCCGGATTTTTCCACCTCCATCATCATCCGGGGAGGGACCATGCAGGTGGCGTTCAGGGAGCAGGCTCGACCCCTGCCCTCTGACTCCAGGCCACCTAACCCCCAACGCTCCACGTGGGGCTGCTATGGGCCCTGGGGAGGCCGAGGATGGTGGGGGCGGGGTTCGGCCCCCAGAAACTCCCAGCGTGGCATCTCGGCTGTCTGGCTCTGCACACGCCCCCTGCCCCCCCAACCCTGGCCCATGGAAAGAGTACAGTCCTGGAAGTCAGGCGGGCCTTCCGCAAACCTCCAGCTCTGAGGCCTTGGCCAGGCTGCTTGATGTATAGGAGCCTCAGTTTCCTGATCTGTGAAATGGGAATGATGATAGCGCCAGCCACATGGGACTGTTTACTTGGGATCAATAACAAGTAATACAAATAACTTAGGCATAAGAACAAGGCAACATGGACGGCGCCAGACCCAACTGTCTCCTGCACGAAGCATCCCACCGCTTCCTTCTCCCCCGTCCCACCCGCAGAGTGCCCATCCCTGGGCGCTCCGAAGCCTGAGCAGGGAGCTGCTGTCTTCGTTGGGTCTCCCTCTGGGACCACAGTCCTCAGCGGTCCAACCCATGTCTTTTGGGAACTGGGGGCCCTCGGCAGTGTTTGCGTAGCCTGGGACCCCGCCCACCTGTGCCCCAAATGGCGGCCATGCTGGGAATGGCGAGGCATGGACACAGGCCCTGCACGGAGGGTAGAAGCAGAGATTCCCTGGGTGCGTTGGGGACCTGGAGGTGCTAGAAGGGTGGCAGCTGGAGGGGAGGGCCTGCCCTCCACATGTGCCCCACGTGGCACCTGGCACAGAGCAAGGCTGAACAGAACGACGCGGTGCCAAAGACTTGGTTAGAACAAACCAAGACCAGCTTCCTGCAGCGACTCACCCAGGGAGGTGGCAGGTAAGGGTTTCAGGAGGCCACGAGTGTGTGGGGGGCCCCAGATGAACACCCTGCACCCCTAAGCCCCGTGGGGGCATCCTAGGCAGCTTGAGGGTCCCTGAGCCAGGCAGAGGCTGGGGGGCCACTCACAAGTGCTCAGCCCAGAAACTCAAGGACCCCCACCTGTGGATGGGGGTCCCACAATGAGACGCCCCTCTCCCGGACCCGCACCAGGACCCTGCCAGACCCCAACCCTCTGCCTTGAGGCTACAGCCTCCAGCCCCCACCCCTCAAGCTGTCTCTGGGGCGGTGGAGCGCCATCCAAGAGCAGGGCCCTCTTTTCGGGGTTCCCGCGGGGCCTCTTCGCGCCTGAGGCCCCCACGTCGCCGGGGCCTCACCTGCGCATCCCTGGCTCTCTCCTCCCCGGGCGGAAGCTCTTCCGTTTCTGGGCCACCCTCCCTGCCTAACCTCATTAGATGGTCCCAGCCTGGTTCCGAGGGCCCCGCTGGGCCCGGCAGGGCGGGCGGCGGGCGGCGGGCGGCGGGCACACTCACCCAGCAGCAGGTTCATGAGCACCTCCTGGCCGGCCAGCGTGCTGCTCTTCACCAGGCAGAGGATGGTGCCCCCGATCCAGGGGACGCCGTGGCCCGTGATGCCGATGAGCTTGACCATGGAGCGGGCGCCGGCCCAGGACGCCGCGCGGCCGGCGCACACCCCCAGCCGCTTGGACATGCAGATGTCGATGGCCAGCAGCGAGTTGAAGGCGATGCCCTTGAAGGAGGGGTTCAGCTGCATGCAGTCCTCCTCGGGCAGCTGCTGAGACTGGCGCCGCTCCCGGGCCCCGTCACCAGGCGCTGGGGGCTGCGCGGAGGGGCCGGACGCCTTCCTGCCGGAGCTGCGGGGCTCCGGGGCGCCCTTGGGGGGCTGGTTCAGGGACAGGAACTCGGCCCGGTTGAGGACGTTGTTGCGGTCCCGGGCTCGGGCCCGGCTCTGGGAGGCCGGCATGGTGGCGCTGACGCTGAGGGCCTGCGCCCGCCGGGCTGCGAGGCCGTTCTCCCCGAGGCAAGTGCTGCCCCCCGAGCGGCCACTGCTCCGGCCCCTCTGCCTTCCCCGCGGCCGCTGTTAAATATAGAGTGCAGGATCGCACATGGCTGTTTACCTCTGGCGGCCACCAGGCTCCGAGGGACGTCAGTGCCAGCTGGGCAGCCAATCGAGCCCACCGACGCCGTCCTGCGCCAATGGGGCCACCGGGGAGGCGGAGGAGGCCACAGCTGCAGCCACCGCCTCCGGCCTGGGCTATTTAAATCTTCCAATGGCTTGGTCCGCAGGCTTTGGGGGACTCTGGGAAATGTAGTCCTCAGCTGTGCTCCAAGCCAGAGGCCCAAAGAGTGGGCTCCGCGCTGAGCCCTGCGTTTACCATCTTCCCTAGGAGCAGGCCAGGCCCCTGCGAGCCAGGCCTGCCTGCGCCACTGGCCGGGGTGGCTTGGATGTGGTCCCATGGACTGGAAGGCGGAGCCCCGGCTGAAGGCCTCTCTGGGCACCAGATGGAGTGAATGATGTTACTAAAAGCATCCTCTTAGGTCCGTGGGGACCAGGTGTAGCCCCTCCCCTCTGGGAGAGCATTTCATTAAGCTGGCAGGCTGGCCTTTCTTCCTTTGTGATCAGTCTTGAATTGAGCTTCAGCTCATCATAGTTCAATGAAATGGCAATTTGTAAGATTGCTTTCCATTAGGAGGACGGTCACATTCATGGGTTGGCAGCAGATCTCGGAGGCAACCCCTTGGAGGTTGCCTTCGTTTCATGAAGGGCAGGGGCACGGGAATGGCGTCAGGCAGCCCAGGAATAGTCACCGAGCCCCTGGCGCTTGGCAGCAAAGGAAAGACCACCCCCCTGTCCCCGGGAAGCTCACGTTCGGTGGGGAGCGAATGAATGACATAGACGTGGTTGCAAGAGTGCAGACGAGGAGCAGGAACAGAGCCAGGGCTCCGGGCTGGCCTGGCTCTGTGCAGGGCCGCCCGCCCCAGGAGCAAGGGCGGCTGGAGGCCCTGGGCAAGGGAGAGCCTGTCCCAGATGAGGCCTCAGGGGGCCCTTGGGGCTGGTGCCCGGAGTGAAGGGGCAAGAGAGGCTGTGAACCTGGAGAGGGCAGACCGAGAGGGCCCCGTGGAGGAGAAGTCCGCCCTGCACCCGCCCGGGGACTGTGGGAACCCGGTCCCTGCAGCCCTTCAGGGCCGACTGGGCCTGGGCTCGAGGGGAAGCCCCTGCCTGAGAGCGACCGGAAGGGTCAGGAGGGGTTGCTGTGGTCTCACTATCCATGGCAGCCGAGGCCTCTCTGCTCAGCTGGGATGGAGGTGGCAGCCTGTGGCTTCCCTTCCTTCGTGGAGCCTGCCCCTGAAGCCCCGCCCCTCCCCGCCCCGCAGCCTCCTGGGCACCAAGGCCCGGGTGCTGCCTGGGGCGAGTGCCCTCTGGCCACAGGGAACCAGCCCATGGGCTCCAGAGTCAGGCAGGGCAGGGGCGGCCTGGGGCTCCGGCCGCCAGCCCGCTGTGAGGCCTTGAGCAAGTCACTGGGCCTCGGCTTCCCTACCTGTCACTTGGGAATGCACCGTGCACCTTGCAAGGCCTGTCGTGAGGTCAACGAGATGACGTTTGTGAGGGGCCGAGGGGGGCCCCGGCCGCAGAGCCGGCCTGCGGCGCTGTGGGTTAGGACCTGACCTGGCCTCACAAGCGAGGCGCAGCTTCCTCCCCTCCGCGTGCCCCCTTCAGAAGGACCCGGACCCAGGATCCCGCTCCCACCCCATATCTGGTGGCACAGTCTCCCACTCCAGGAGCCCTCAGCCTGGGGTTCCTTGCGGATTCCTTGGCATTCCTTTTCCCGAGTGTTCCATTGCGATGCAGCCACAGAGGAGGACATCCCAGACTCTGTCGCAGCCGCCAGCCCGCCTGGGTGCGGCGTGATGACGCAGGCTGCCTCATCCTGGCCCCTGCAGAGCTGCACACAAACACACGCACGAGATGCGTGGATATAGAGCTGTGTACCGAGCTCTCCGCACGCCTTAGCTTATAAACCACGGAGCCAGCCTTCCTGGGAAGTTGCGACATCAGCCCCATTGTACAGATGAGGATGCTGAGGCTCAGAGGCTGCAGGCCTCCAGCCCGGAAGCGGGCAGGTCCGACTCCCAAGAAGCCGCTGGGGAGGGACACGGGGGCCTCAGGCCACAGGGACCTGGGCGTGCTTGCTCTGCTCCCCACCAGGCACTTGCCCCGCTCTCCCCGGGTGGTGCCCATGGCCTGGGCTGACCTCAGGACGGGCTGAGGAGCCTGGCCAGATGGAGCCTATTAATACCCGGAGACGTGTCAGCATCTTGGCCTGGCCAGGGCTGCGGCAGATCCTGAGGGCTCCGTCCTAGGAGGGCCAGGAGCGGCTTGGAGCTGGCTCTGGAGCGGGGCAGCCCGGGTTCAAAGCCTGGCTCTGCTACCTCTGGCTCAGCGACGGCAGGCAAGTCGTCCTAGTCCTCCTGGCCCGTGTTGTCCCCTCAGGGGGCAGGTGACAGGGTGGTGTGAAGGGCTTGCTTACACTGAGACCTGCCCCTGTCTCTGTAGGGTGAGGTGACCCTGGTCCCGTTCTCAGGCAGCTGAGGAGCGGGTGCCATCGCTTTGTGAACGCCTACAGCAAGCCACACGACCCCACTTCTCGGGAGTCCTGGGATTCATTCATTCATTCCGTCGATACCGTCACTGAGCCTGTCCTGCCGTCTAGCGGGGGATGCCTATGAAGGAACCAGCCAGTTTATGAGACAGTGTAATTTTACCAATAGCCTTATGGTCTCTTATTCTCAGAACGTCACAGACATGCTGCCATAAAGTCAACACACACAGATAATGTAAGTGCTGTCCTGCTGCCTGGAGACTGGGTCTGCTAACACGAGGCGGTCAGCTTCCGGGGGGTTCTCACGTGCCTCGTTCCCGATTACTGATGTATTTTACAACCACCAAGTATTTCTTCAATAACCAGAAGCAATGCATTGAAAAGCTAGACCCAGCTCTGGCTGCTGTGGCTCAGTGGGTCCCGCCAACCGAAGCGTCACCTGTTCAGTTCCTGGTCAGGGCACATGCCTGGGCTGCGGGCCAGGTCCCCGGTTGGGGCGCACGTGCAATGGGCAACCAATCAATGTTTCTGTCCCTCACTTCCCCTCTCTCCAAAAATAAATCAAGTCATTTAAAAAACTGTATCTATTGACATGTGTATCTCATATATAGACATGCATTTTAAAATACCATTGTATTATATGCCTTTAAAAAAATAACCTACCATTTTCACTTGACAAATATAAACCTCGCCATGTTTCCATGACAACCTATTATTTTTCAATGGCTGTTTGTCACTTTGTCCCGTGGATGGACCATACTTCATGTTAGCGATTCGTCATGATTGGGCCTGTAGACTCCGTTTTGTAAGTATTAAAACGATTCTGGCGTGGCCACCCTCCTGCACACACTCCTGTGCGCGAACGCAGAGTGTAAGCGGCTCACGTGGCAAGTGCGAGTGAGAGAGCTGCGCGGTGCGTCCCCGTGAGACGGAAGGGGCAAGCCCAAGCCTCCCACCGGGGCGCCTGACCTGGGAGAACACGGCTCGGCTGTGGACGCTTCCAGCAGGCAGAGCACGTCCGGCCCCCTCCCGCCACGTTAGAGAGACAGAGAGCAGGGGCTGCTCAGCTGGAAGGCCGGAGCTGGGACGCGGGCCCGCCGGCCCCTGTCCCCGAGCCCTGCAGCCTGTCACCCTGGCCGCGCGTCCCGCAGCTGCTCCGCTCCCTGCCCGCTTGTCACTCGTCTGCCACTCGCTTGCTTGCTCGTTCACTCACGGAACACTTTTTGAGGCTTGCTGTGACTCGGGCGGCACTGTGCCTGAAGACCGCCTGGGCCCCCGGACCACGGCCCCACCTGGCCCCTGGCCTGCATAGCCTTCCGTTCCAGTGCAGTCCCTGGCCGGAAGGGCCGCAGTGGGGCGTGAGGCGCCACACCAGGCCAGAGGCCGGCCAGGAGTTGGGCCCCGGCCTCGGCCCCAGGCCCTTGGTGCATGGCTCTTCCTTGAGAGGAGGAGAGGCTTCTGACAGCTTCGAGGAACCCAGAGCAGCTTGCACATCACGGGCGCTCGTTCTGTGTTGTCTTAAATGGGTCAGACAGACTTGCTGCTGCTCCTAAGCACACTGACCATCCCCTGGTCCTGAACTTGCTCTGAGCCAGCCTTGGAGCTAAGTGCCTGTCCCTCAGCTATCACAGCAATGTCACAGCCGAGCTTTAAGTCCCCACTGCACAAATTTGAACACTGAAGCTCAGAGGCAAAGGGACTCTACTTGGGCAGTCAAGTGTGCTCATGGGGGACCCCGGGGCTCAAACATCACCCCAACGTCCCTTGCCCTCTCTGCTCTTTTCCCTGGCCTGTGCCCTTTCTAATGCGACACTCATTTACTCTCTGTGTGTTCATGGCCTCTGTCTTCCTAGCAGAGCGTCAACCAACAGGAGGGACTGCTATCTATTGGTTCACGGATGAGCCTGGGGCCTGGGCAGTGCCGGGCACACAGTAGGTGCCCCGGAAGCACTTATTGAATGGATGGCTGTCTGACTCTGGAGTCTGGGCTCTAATCTACCACACACCTTGCCATCGAAGACCCATGGCCAAGAGGAGACCTGTTATTTGGGGCAATGACCCCAGAAGGGAAGGTGGGGGAGCAGGTGAGACGCTGCACTCCAGGCAGCCGCCCTGGGGGAGGCACAGCTGGAGGGCACAGGCGGAGGCGGGGGCAGTGCAGGGTCCCCTGCCAGGATGGGGCGGGAGCCCTGTGCGGAGCGTTTTTCATCCGGCCTCCCCACCCCAGGAGGCCCGGCGGATCGCATTCTCAGTTTGAATTTCCAAGGCAGCTCTTGGGTTATTTCGGTCGGGAAACCTGATCCTTCGCTGGGTTTATTTTAGCACCTTGGAGAACTCCCAGTGCCGCACCCGATCCCGGCCGGCCGCACCCAGCCCGCCGACTTGCGGCAGCGCGGTGGGGGCGGCGAGGGGAGCGCGCGGGCGTCCTCCCGGGCCGCCAGCACGCGGAACCTCACCGCACGGTGCTGGGCTGGGAGGGCGCGGAGGGGCGGCCAGGAGAGCAGGCCCCCCCGTGCACTCCCCCGCTGCTGCCGCCTGACCTTGGGTCTCCGCTGGCCTCAGCTCCTCCTCTGGGCGGAGGGTCGTGGCGCGGGGGGGGGGGGCGCGGTTCTCGCTCCGAACTGTAGTGCCGGAGGCTCCCCTGGGGAAGCCGGCGGAGGGGCAGAGGGTCCCGAGCGTCCCTGGGGAGGGTGCTCAGGTAGAGGCTGCCCTGTGAAGCAGGTGGGGACAAGCCGTCCCTCACCAGCGCCTACTGACCTGATTTGGCCATGGGACTCCCCATCCGCCAGGCACCTTACAGACCCCCAGTCCAAAAATAACACCAACACACCTACATGCGCAGTCGCAGACAAGCGCACTCTCGCACGCAGGCACTCGTATCCCACCTGCTCACGCCCACAAACGCGCTCACCTACATCGCACACATGGCCACACGCCCGCATGGACACACACCCCCTTCCCCAGACACCCATGGACACAGGCCATCATGCACTCATACCCACGCCCACACGCTTGTACGAGCCGTCACATTGCCAGAACACACACACGTGCTATGCACGCACGCACACTCACACAGATCTTTGCACAACGCACACACCGCCATACACAATATAGACCCACTCACTCGCCCGCCGCCACACCACTGCACACCTCACACACATGCCCGCGTGGACACACATCCAGACGCCCTCACGGACACACACACCCACGCCTGGGCACATACACTCACCGGGACACACTGCACACATAGTACACATGACTGTCACACATGCCCTCCCACACAAGGACACACAGCCCCACACTGCCACACACGCCCACACCACCGCTCCCTCCACCCTCCTCCGACACGCGCATTCACACCAACACGCCGGGAACACGCATCCGCCACCCGCCTCCCCCTGCGCTGAGCCCTGGCCACCCGCGCATCAGGACGGCTGACTCACTGGCATCTCGACTGGCAGCGATCGATACTTCCTCACAACCGCTTGACTATGAACCCGCGCCTATTTATTATTCATGTTAATTAATGCCTCTCTTCATCGTTCCTGGAGTGATTCCTTGACACTCCCCGGCCCACGAGGATGCACGTGCCGGGGGGGACCACGCCTGCCGCCTGCGCGGGCACCGGCCGTGTTCCCCAGTGTCTCCTGAGCACCTAGCACAGGACAGGGGCCATCAGCACCGGGGCCGATGCCGGGAGTCGAGGGACCTCGTCCTCCCACCGACAGCTCTAAGCTCCCGTGCTGCCGCGGTGAGGGGTCCTGCTCTGGGGGGGGGTTGGCGCCACGCTTCCTGACCCCCTCCTCCGACCTGCCGGCTAGTGCCTTCAGGGCAGAGGAGTCTGAGGAGGCTCTGGTCTGGGGGAGGGGAGGGGTCCCGGGGAAGCTGGGAGGGTCCCCATGGCGGTGGGCGCCCCTCCCATGGAGGCCTCCGTCCTCTGCTCTGCAGATGCCAGCGCCTCGCACTCACGTGGCTGCGTCCTGGGCCTCCCACGCAGCTGAGACAGCCTCGGGTCTGTGCCCAGCGCCCACGGGGCTCCAGGGAGTGCCGAGCGCGAGGCAGCAGCCAGAACCTTGGAGGGCCAGCGCGAGCGGGGCTGGGGGTGCACGTGGAGCGGAGCCCGTCCGGGCCCGCTGTCTCTCAGGGCTGCCCCCGGGCAAGCCGGTCCTTGGCTCAGAGCCCGGCCAGCGGCCCGCGGACGCTGCCTGGGCCGTTTCCCTGCAGAGCTCGCCCTCCAACTAGCCCAAGACACTGTATCGCATCACAGGGGACGAGCAAGGGGAGGCGGCTCCGGGGCCGAGGTTAGGGACAGGGGCCTTCGGTCTTTCGAGAGCCCTCACCCTCTCCCAGTGCAACTGTCCAGACAGGGCTTCGCGGTATCAGTTCCTTCCTGGCTCAGAGGGGCTGGTGGCATGTCTGGAGGAGGTGACCAGGCCTTAGGCTTGGCCCAATCTGCGCGGGCACCCCCGCAACCCCTGGGTCTCTCTGCCTGTACAGCCCCACCTCCTGGCAACAAGGTGAAGGATAAGGCAGACAGTGCTCGCCCAGGCAGCACCTAGCAGGTGGTGGAGACTCCACCATCGCCTCACCTGGCCCAGGCCCGCACGGAGGAACGTCACTTGCCATGGGCGCCTGGGGGGCCTGTCCCCAGGAAATAACCTTCAGGGGCTTGGCCACTTAGTGAGTGGGTCTGGGCCCTGGCCTCTGTCCTTTCCAGGTCAAAGGAGAAGGATGTGCAGCTCGGCACATGTCCATGGAGCACTCAGGTCCTTTTCACCAGGACAGTGTCCCCACCGTCTGGGGACATCCTGGCTAATGAGGTCTGTTTTGTTCCAGAGGCTGATGGTGTTGGCAGATGAGAGGGACGCCCCCAGATTTACTGTCTCATCTATGTAGACACTGAATAGCATAATAATTACCTGATGACCACGGGGGTGCGGATGGCCACAGGGAGCCCCCGGGGCCGGGGTGTTTTGCGGGGGCCATAAGTGCGTGGCAAGGAGGCGCTGCTGTGTGCTGAGAGGCCAGGGAGAGCTTCTTCCCGGAAGTGGACATGTCGCGGGTCCTTAGGAGACCCGTGCTGTCAGGGGTTCTACTGTCTGGCAGTCAGCAGGTCATGAGAGACGCCTTGCCTTGGTCTCGGCCAGCGGGACCAGGAAGAAGCTACCTGGTTGCTGAACTGGACAGGGACACCCTGTCCCTCAGCGGGGTGAGGGCCCGTGGCAGTGAGTGGGGTGAGGGCAGGGATATGGCTGGGTACAATGAGACACTTCCTGTGGCCTGAGCTGGTGCTGGGCGTGTGAAGGGTCATCAGCGTGGCTGATCCTTCATCAGAGAAGAAACCTCGGTGTGGCCAGAACCCCCACTCCCCTGGTCCCTGCCCTCCCCAGCACACACCGGGAGCGGCCAGAACCACCCGCCGTGGGCCCGGCTGCGGGCCCCTTTGGATGTGAGAGTCACAGGGAGAGGACAAGGCTCTAAGGTGGCTGCAAGCTTTTCTGATGTCACAAACCACCTGGCCTTTCCCCAGGTGAGGGTGAGGCTGCAGCTCAAGGACACTTGGAGAGGTTCGTAGCTCTCCCCTCCCCCACCGCCTCCAGGTTCAAAGCCCTTGTGAACGCCTGTGCTCAGACCACCAGGTGCCAGCCTCAGCTGGGACACATGCCAAGGTGGGGCCTTGGGCAAATCTCCTGGCTTTGGATTCCTGCTCTGTGAAATGCACAGCATAGGTCTCCTGCCCAGGGTGGCTGATGGTGGCAGATATGAGGCTGTACAGCACTTCCGCAGCTGGGGACCAACAAACCTGATCACTGCTAGAGTGCCCTGCGGCCCGACACAGGGGGAGCAATCCAGGGACCCTTTTCCCAAACTCATCTACCCCGACCCTTCCGGCCCTGGAGCCTCCCAGAGCCACGGCCCTATAGCGCGGCCACGCATAGCAGAGCGGTGCGGCTCTTCCCCGCGTGCCCGGAGTCCCGGAAACCGAGCGAGTGCAAAGGGCACAGGGAGCAGCCCACCTGGACCCGAGGCACAAGTCGAACTACATTACCCAGAATTCCCCGGGCTTGCCAGAAAGGAAATGTCGTTTCTGCGAGGAGAGGCTTAGCTCTCCCAGCAGCTGCAGAGAGAGGGAGAGCGAGGGGGGAGAGGGGGAGAGGATTACCGGGGGGGAGGGCGGGCGGTGCGGGGAGCGAGGGTGTAGAGCAGGGCGGGCGGCGAGGAGGAGGCGGCGCCCGCCGCTGCCGCCTGCGGACCGCATCCCCGCCGGGCCAGAGAGCGCGGGCGGCGGTGCCTGCGTGCGCTGCGCTGCGCGCCGGCCGGCGGCTGCGGGCGGACGCGGGGCCAGGCCGGCGCAGGGGCTGAGTTTCTGCAAAGTTTGACCTGGTTGCCTTTCCGATGCTGCTGCAGAGCAAGGCAGCGCGGGGCGCGCCAGGCGGCTGCGGCGCGGCGGCGGGGCTGAGCGGCGACAGCACGCTCACAATGATCATAAAATAAAGGAGGCGCGTGGGGTGGGGGCGAGAGAGCCCCGAGCCTCAGCCCTCCGCCCCCGGCCACCCCCAGCAGCCCCGAACTAGGAGGACGTGGGGGCCGGGGGCGCCCCCGTCGGCCCCAGACCGTAGTAGAGCCAAAGGACACTGCCCCGGGAAGGGGGTGGGGGTGTCCGCGGCAGGGTCAGGGGCGGCCGGAGGGCGGCGGCCCGGGCACGCGGATTGGTCCGAGGGGCAGGTGAGTCGCCGGCGCCGCCCCGGTGGGGGCGTGCGCGCCAAAGTTGCCCCGCGGCGGCGAGCGCGCCGGACGCGCGGGGACTCGAGGCCGATCGCGGCTGACGAGAGGGGGACAGAGGCGCCCAATGCGGCGGGACTAGGGCACTGAGCCCTCCGAGGGTCGGGGGATCCCGGCCCGAGAAGGGCGCGCGCGCCCGATCAGACTGGCCTGCAGGGGTGGCACTGCGCCCATAGGGGGGCCGGAGAGACCCGGGCTGGGGAAAGGGCGCTGGCAGCGAGGCGGCGGGCGCAGTGCGAGGGCCGGCAAGTCCACACGGCCCACTGCAGTGCCAGGCTATCGCCCCCCACCCCACCCCCGGGCCGGGAGGGTGTCAGCGGAGATGTCACGGGCGGCGATTATTCGCTGGTGCGCGCGGTCGTGCGGCTGCCACTGACGGGGCGGGCGAGAGGGGGGGCCGCCACCTCCGGGGAGACCGCCCAGAGCTGCGCTGTCAGCTCCGCAGCCCGCGCCCCGTGCACACGCGTCGCCGCCCCGTGCGCCCCCCCTCTGCAAAGTTAGGCTCAACTTTGAGGCGGGCCTTGACGCCCTGTCCCTTCCACCTCCCACCAGGTCCTCAGCGGCGCGAACTAGGCGGCGGCTCGAGCACAGCCCTGCAGCCCCGGACAGCGGGCGGCGACAGAGACAGCGACAAGGGGACGCGGCGCGCCCTCGTTGGGGCGTCGGCCTGCGCCCGCCACTGGGCGCCGACCCGGACCCGCGCTGCGCCGCGCTGCTCGGGGACCTCGCGGGCGGCCGGAGCCCGGCGCTCGCCTCCAGGAAGCCGCGGGTCGGCGCTCGCCCTCGAGGGAGACGGGACCTCTGCCGACTGAACAGAAACTGCCCTTCCATTGATTCGGCCCCGTTGGGCGAGAGGCCGGTGCGTGTCCCGAGCGCGTGCGGAAGACAGGAGGGCAGGAAGTCGGTCTTCTGCAGCGAGGGTGGCGGCGCTGCGCCGGGGACGGAGCCTTCCTTATTTATGTGTCTGCCGGCGTTCGCCTTCTTCCCCGAAGACTTCAGGGAGCGTCTCTGAGCTGCGTTCCCCGCGCGTGAGGCACGGAAGGGCTGGATATCTGAACAACATGATTATCCATTAACATCCAAACTTTTCTTTTTTTAACCCAAAGAATATCGGTGACTTTTGTCCACTGCTAGCATAAGAAGAAAGAACTCGGGACCCTCGAAATGCAGCAAAATCCTTATTTCTAAACAGGCCTGAGGTAGTGATTCGCAAACGCCCGCTACTCAGTGAATGTTCTATCCTATGGATATCGGTCTTGAGATTTGAAATTGGAGAGCAGCTCCGTCTGCACTGGGCCCTGCAGCCTCCGCCCTTTCAATGCCCCGTTTTCTCTGGGACTGCTGGCCTTCCCTGGACATCAGAGCGGTCCTGCGTGCCATGGGCTGTATCCAGAGCATCGGGGGCAAAGCCAGAGTCTTCCGGGAAGGCATCACAGTGATCGATGTGAAAGCCTCCATTGACCCTGTCCCCACCAGCATCGATGAGTCCTCCAGCGTGGTGCTCCGCTACCGGACGCCCCACTTCCGTGCCTCGGCCCAGGTGGTCATGCCTCCCATCCCCAAGAAGGAGACCTGGATAGTTGGCTGGATCCAGGCGTGCAGCCACATGGAGTTCTACAACCAGTACGGCGAGCAGGGCATGTGAGTGCTGCTCCCAGGCCAGCGTGGGGGGGGGGGGGGCTTGGCGGCCTGGGGCGGGGGTCAGGGCCTCACCAGGGGTGAAGGGGAGCTTTCGGAACGTCCGGAAGTCCTTTCAGAGGGTTTGCCTGTTGATTCAGACGGAGATCATGGCTCTAGGACCTCCTTACCGCTGTCCCTGAGGTTCCAGTGTCCTTGCTTGGAAGATGCTAAGAGAGGAGAGGAGCCCTGGCCAGGCTGCTCAGGTGGTTAGGGCGTCGGCCGGTGCGCCAGGGCTGCGGTTTGGTCCCTGCGCCAGGGCCCATGCGAGAAGCACCCAATGGATGTGTAAACGAGGGGAACAACAAACCGATATTTCTCTCTCTCTCTCTCTCTCAACTCAATTTAAAAAGAAAGAAGGAAAGAAAGAAAGAGTATTCCACCAGGTGCCTCTTTGGTAAAACGGACATGCTGTGTGGGCCACCAGAGCAGCGGAGGCTCGCCACCTCCCTCCACTGCCCCCGCAGGCTCAGGCCTCTGCGAGCCCACGTGGCCGGTACTCAGGGAAGTACGGGGCCCTGGAGCCTCCCGAGTTCTCCGCACGGCGCTGTGGGGTTTCAGCCCCGACTCAGGCCCCCGGGGGAATGCTTTGCTGTCACCAGCTGCGTTCTGTGTGAGAGGAGAGCCAGTTTTGGAAGCGCGGTGTGCTTTGCGGTGCAGTGCTTTCTCTCTCCAAGGCAGGAGGCCCCTTAAGGAGACCTCAGCTGCCTCGTGTGGGGGCTTCAGCGGGGGCCTTCACAGCCGAGAGGGGCCCACTGGCCTCTTCTCTCCAGCCTGGTCTCCAGGAATGTTCCCAGGAGAGTGCGAATCTCCGGGCAGGACACTGGGACCCTGGGCCTTCTTTTCTGGCGTGTTCCCTGAGCTGGAGATGGTGACCCCAGGCGGGCGTGGAAAGGGCAAGGGTAGACCTAACGTGCAGGCCCCCCACGCCAGGGCGGTGGAAATTGCTGTTGCCAGGCACCGGGTCACGTCTGAGCGGGCTGGCCGGGGACACTCTCCCGTAGCCTCTCTCAGCGTCCGTTCTGTGCAGCATCCTGGCTTTGCAAGTAAATAGCAGAGAAGATTTCCCTGGGAATAGGAACTTTGCACTGATCGAGGGGCGCCCTGGGCCACCTGAGATTAGAGGGGGGTGAGGAAGGGATGGAGGCTGGGAGGACGCCAGGTCTTACGGCTTCTCCGCTAAATGATGCTAAGTTACAAAGGCAACAGGAGGACCACAGTGACACTTAACACCTGGGTGTGACCGTGGTCGCCCAGGGGAGATGTGCGGCCTACCTGGACACGCATCGGCTCCTCCCTCCAACTGACTTCCACGCCCCTGCCCTTTGATTCCCCAAAGCCGCTACTGATCCCGGCGGGTGGAGGGGGGAGCATGGCGGGGGCGGACTTTCAGTTCCAAAAGGGAAACAAGAGTCTTGGTTATTTGGTGTGAACCTCCCCTGAGAAGCCTTAAGCTCGAAGCCTTGTCAGGGTTTGCAAGGCATCCGGGCCAACTGGCAAGACACGAGGCTTTGCCAGGGGCCTCAGGCTAAGCCCGTTCCCCGGCAGGAGTTCTGGGGCGGGGTAGGCAGGGTCCCCCAGAACTCGGGAAAATGTGAGCGCTGGGGGAAGACCACCGTGGAGAATGAGGGGGACTGTTTTGAGGAGCCAGGAGCGCTGTGCTGTGGGGAGGGGCCAGGCCCGGCTCAGGACCTTGGCCTTCCCCGTGTGCGCAGGGTGTCCGGGCTTCGAGGCCTCGTGCTCCGCTCGGAGGCTCTGAGAGCGTCCAGGCGCGCTCCCCGCAGGCAGGCCCGCGTCAGGAGGCCCGAGGTGGCCTCGTTCTCTGTGCCAGCCCTCGGTTCCTGGTCAGAGGAGACCAGGGCGCGCCCAGACTGCAGCCGAGCAGATCTGGGCGGGAGTCCAGGCCCTGCCGCCTTCCAGGCTGTGGCCGGAGCCACTCGGACCCTGGGTTTCCTCCTCTGCAAATCGGGGCCTGCTAGTCCTGGTGCCCTGGCTTATTGCGAGAACGACAGGAGATGACATTGATCAAGCAGTCGGCACCACGCTGGGGCCGTGGTCAAATACTCAACGCAGGCGGCCTTCGCCGCCCACATCGGTCTTCGTTACTGTGATGATAATTCTCTGCCGGGGTTGGGGGTGAGGTAACGGTAGTGAGTTGGGAATCGGGGCTGAAACCTCAGGATCCGACAGGCGACAGACGTGGGTCCCTCTAGCGCCAGCCCAGGCCTCCTGCCTTCACAGGGGGCCGCTCCCCAACTGGGAGAAATTTGGAAATCGTGGAAATTGTGAATAATGGGAGCTTTCGAGGGGCTGAAGGCCGGCCTCCTTGCTCTGCTCCTGCTTGCTTTGGCTCCCTCCCCTCCTTGGGACCCCTCTCTGGGCCCTGGGCCCTCTGTTTCCGCGCCCCATTCTCCGGGGTCCGTAACCCCAGCTGGGAGGGGAGTCGGCCCCAGAGAAAGGGCCGAGGTTGGGGCTCCCTGGGAGGGTCCGTGCCCTGAATGGGGTCAGAATGACTGACCAGTGCTGGCTCTGGGGCCTTGGAAGGTCCCCCCTCGGAGCTGCGGTTTTGCCGTCTGGCAGACGGCTCCTCCTTGCCTTCTGGTGTCTTGCTGTGAGGGGACAGGTGGAGGTGACGACCCTGCCAGGGAAAATGCTGCAGGTTGGAAGCTGTTCGACTTACCCTTAATCAACAAGACCACATTAAGAGTCACCGAGCAGTGCGGTTCGTTGTGACAGTCCCTCCGGTCCGTGAGCAGAGTGCTGAGCTCACCCAGGGCCCCGGGGAACGGAAGGGCTAGTTTAGAAAAAGCCTGGCTGTGCGTGAATGGGGTGTAAGAGACCCTTCCCATCATCCTTACCCCGAACTACTCTTTTTCCTATTTTTAAGCCCTGTAACACGAAAGAAAGAGAGGAGCGATGAGCCGGTGGGGCTGCCCAGAGACCTCTAGCTGCCCCAAGCTGGCCCCCAGCTTTGCCCAGGCCAGAGGCCGTCCTGCGCATGGTAGGATGTGGAGCAGCATCCCTGGTCTCCGCCCAGTCGATGCCAGGAGTCCCCCAGCCCCATGTTGTGACAACCAGAAATGTCTCCAGACGTTGCCGGTTGTCCCTGGGAGGGTGCGCAGCCACCCCTGGTTGCGAAGCGCTGGACTAGGCCCGGACAGTGGGAGTCATTAAGATGAGACCCACATGCTGGGTTTCAGTGGCCTGGGGCGGGCACAGGCAGGTGGCACAGGCTAGGGTTTCTGTTCTGTCCAAATGGGCTTGTATTCACCATATTAATTCCCAGGGCTTAACCGAAACCCATAATCCCCCCAGCGCTCTCCCTGCTTGAGGCTGATCTCTAATCCAGGAGGACTTAGAACGGCACCCTGGCTCCGGGCTGCGCGAGGCGGGATGACAGCGTGGCGCTCCCAGAGCGCTGCGAGGAGGTGAGCCTCTCTGCGCCAGCCTCCGAAGGCTCCGTGTGCTTGGGGTCCAGCGCACGCTGCTTTAAAAGCCGCCCCCAGACTGCCGGAGACACCTGCCTCCGCAACCCCGTCCTCCGCCATTCCTCCACCGCCACCTGTCAGCTGGCATAGTCTTCTAAGTGACAAGTCACAGTTTCTTGCCTGTGTGGGAGACACTTCACATTGTCCCTGGTTTGCCCTCCTCTGGGGCCCCCAGGGAACCTGGCCCGCGGCCAGGGCCCAGGCCCCGGTCCACGTCTGGCTCGGAGGCCTGCCAAAGGGCAGGTGTGTGGGAGGGCGGAGGAGAAAGCGGGGTGTGGGTCCCACCGGGCAGCAACCATGGGCCCCGGGCCTCCCTGCGGCCATCTCTGAAGTCGGGAGGACAGCGCGTCCCTCGTGCGGGATGTGGGGACGGCGGGAGGGGAGGCTCCACGAGGACCTAGCACAGGGCCTGGGGCGTCCGAAGGCTCCGTGCGCGGCAGCTGTCAACATCGCAACTATGCATAACGCGTTAGTAGTTGCGCGGCGCCGGCAGAGCCAGCCCGCAGCCTGCTGTGTTACGGTCCTCGCGGCCTCGCGCTTGTCTCCTGCGCTGGGTTTCACGGACCTGGCCACAGTGCGAGAGCCTTGGGTGGTGAGACTTCTGAGGGGCGTTCGAGCCAGAAGGTGGGGTGACATTTGCTATCACGGGATTCAAGGCGGGGCAGTGTTGGAGGACCCGAGGCCGCAGGCTGGGGAGGCGGAGCTGGGCAGAGGGGCAGATGTGCCCGACACCCGGCCAGCTCTGTGATTTCCCAAGGGCCTCACCGAGCAAGGAGCTAGCAGCCCCGAGCCCCAAAGCCACTTGCTCCAGCAGGTCTGAGGACAGGCCCGGGGGAATGGCCCTGGTGACCACGTGGCCTCTTCCTGCAGCCTCAGCCGGAGCCACAGGCCCTGCACAAAACAATTGAGGATGCTGCTTCCTCCCCTCAACCGGAAGGGGCCTCCCCCATCTGCTGGGCCCTGGCAGGGGCGAGGGAGGCGGGGGTGGGAGAGGGAAGTCCTCGCTTCCAGGCTTTGGGGTGGCAGGAAGTGGCAGGGGACTGCCAGCCCAGAGAGAAATCCCCCTGGGCCAGCCCTGGCCAAGTGATCGCCTCAACCCTCACCTTCCGAGTGCCCAGAACAAAAGCCGGCTGTTCCTGGAGACGTGCGAGAAGGCGTGGGCGGCTGGCGCGGTCAAGGGAATGAATTAGATACAGAGATCCGTTTCTTTTGCCCATCGCATCTGGGCAAAATGGACAAGATCAGTAGGTGGACCTACAGTGGCTCCCACAGGGAAAATGACTAGGTTATAGGTTGTATTAAAACAAAGCTGTAATCTCTGCAGGGTAGGGACCGATCTTGGTTAAAAAGACACCCCTGAAAATGGGAACTTACACTGTGAGTGGGCGAGGGAAAGGTCTAGAAGGATGTTTACCAGCCTGCAGTGCAGTGGGTAACCTCAGGGAGGGTCGGCAGCACGGAAGAGACGGCTTTCGGTTCTATTTTGTACACCTCTCTGGGCTGGTGTTGGGGGGGTAAAAAAAACGCACAGCTTTTATAGCTGGAAACTAACAGGGCCCTGCCCCAGGGCCCCGGGGTGTGGCGGGCGGAACCCAGGGGCCGAGGTGGGGAGGAGGGGGGCTCCGCGGCCCCACCCTCAGACGGCAGGTGCCCGGTGGCCCATTTCGTGGGAGGGGTCAGCCTGAGGGGAGGGCGCCGCAAGGGACACAAGTCAACGGGGTCGCAGGCTGGTTCGGAAAGGCTTTTAGGCCTCAGTTTCTGTAAAACTGCAGAGCTTTACAAAATTTGGACTTTCTGCAAATTGTATAAAACAGTTTTACCGACCACCAGGTGGAATAATCCCGAGGCCTGGCTGGCCCAGGCGAGGGTGCCGGGCAGCCCCGGGCGTGGGTCGCAGGCCCTGGGCTTCCCAGGGCAGCCGGCGGGAGCTGGGGGACGAGGGCAGTGCCACGGTGGAGCCATTGAAGCTGAAGGGGAATCTTCATCCAAAGCAACACATTTATTTCCACATGTATCAGGAAAAACCCACATATATCCCTAGCAGATTTAACCTGTTATTTCAAAGGTGCTTCTCAGGAAAAGCTACATCTAATTGAGTTTTTAAAAGAGTGATTGATTTTAAGGAAAACCACCCAGGAGACGGGGGTGGGGGGGGCGGCCCAGGGGGAGGAGGCCAGTGCGGGCGGCAGCCCAGCTCCGGGACCTGCAGGGCCAGTCGGCGGTGCAGCCAGCGGGGCCGACCCCTCTCCCGCGGCAGGGGCAGCGCCCGGCAGCGCCCAGCGTGGTCCGTGCTGGGGGGAGCCCAGGCCCCGGCGCCCCCCCGCCCGGCTTTCTCTGCAGTGGCCACAGAAGGGCCTCCCTGGGCCTTCGCCCTCCCCCGAGAGGCCTTTGCACTGGGCCAGCCTGGACTGGTGGCCGGGCCTGGAGCCCCAAGGCGACCGTCCCCAGCCCTTGTGGTGGCCCTCAGCACAGCCTCCAGGGAAGGCCTTTCTGTAGTCCCTTCAGACTCCTGTTCTCAGTTGGGCGTGCTGCTCAGAGCCTCTGTGTGTGTGTGTGTGTGATTGTGTGTACGTTGTGTGTACAAGTGCGTGGGTACGTTCGGTGAGGGTCCGCTGGAGGCCAGGGGGTACGAGCTTGCTCAGGCTGTGGGTCCTGGCCTGGCGGCTTCCTGGTTATGTGACCGTGGGCCAGGCCTCTAACGTCCCCAGGTCTGAGGAGAGGCCCGGGCAGGTGTACGTACCCAGGGTGCCTGGCATGGCTGACGTGCTCTGGGAGCCGTTGCTGTGGCGCGACCCAGGCCGGGGTGCTGCTGGCTGCAGCCACGCCCGGTGAGGAGGTGCACCGGCCGACACAGCTTTGGGCCAAGGTCCTCTGAGTGAAGCTAAACCCGTTTCTGAGACCCCCATGGGGCTCCGGCCCTGCCCACAGTCAGATCCAGGCCACCCACACGGATTGCCCCCCGGCTCCAGGCCGGCACCGTGTTAGTCCCGGAGGTCAAGGATCGTGGGATTATTTAATCGGCGGCAGGAAGCAGCAGGCTGAGGACCGAGTGGATCTAACACGGGGCCCCTGGCCTCGTGGGACGGGTTGGGGCAGGCTCCCCCGGGGGATGCCAGGGCCGAGTCCGGAGTACCGCCGACCAGGACGGGAGGAGGAGGGGCACCGCTGCTGGCAGAAGGCTCTGGGATGGCGGGGGCCGGTGGGGAGGCATGGCCCGTGAGAGGAACCAAGATCTGCAGCCTGGGGCGGGCACGTGTGCGCGCAAACGCCTGTGACCTCGGGCAGGAACAGGTGCATGTGTGCGTATTCACAGCCCCACCTCCAGGCAGACCTGTCGGCTGAGTGCTCGTGCGCAGGCGCGGTGCTGGGAGCCTTGTTGCTTACTCACCCTTTTGGTGGCATCTGTGGATCAGAGCCTGTGTTGTCCCCACCATGCAAACAGGGAGATGCTCAGTGTGTGCAGGGCCTGGGTCTGAGCTCACCCCACCACCCTGTGGGACAAAGGGCTAAGGATCTGCCTTGAAGTCCAAGGTCGTTCCAGAACGAACTGGAGACTGTGGAGTCTGAAAGTATAAGTGAGGTCAAAGAGGCTTCTGGTCAAATCAGGTTTGGCAGATCCCAACTGCTGAGACCTCCTTCATATGGTTCCAGAAGTTTCCGTATGTACTTCTGGTCCACGTGGACCAGGTAGTATATACATCAAAGCATTTGATCGTCCCCCAGACCTTGCAAGGTGGGTAGGGCTACCCACAGTTCCCTGATGAGAACACGGAGACCCAGGGATGTGTGACTTGATCAGAGCCAGCCTGAGACTTGGTCCAGGGCTGGCCTGTGCCCCCAGAAGCTGTGCCCTCCCCCACAGCCCCCCTCACTTCCTCAAGGGGAACGCGGCGGGCACAGGGGCCAGAGCCAGCCCATGCTGGCTGGGGATGATTTGAACACAGATGCCCTTGGCCCCGGTTCTGAGCAATACCGCGCATGAGGCACGGCTGTCTGCCAGCTCACGAGGACCGTCACCGGTCTGTGACTGAGCCAGGGCTTGGGCATTTGGGGGCTGGGGGAGGAGAGGGACTATGGCGCCTGGGGTCAGAGGCTGAGAGAGAGACAGAGACAGAGACAGAGACAGACAGACAGACAGAGGCTGTTGCGGTCCTAAACCCCAGTCCCCAAACAAGCCAGCTCTTAGGAAGTGAAAGGCCAAAGAAGAGCAAAGTTCCTTTTGCAAGTTTCCTCTCTGCCTTTTAAAAAGCTTTTGCAAACAAGCGTGGCCACCGTGAGCGGAGCAGTGGGTGCCTTCCTGAAACAGCGCCGGCACAGGCTGCTGCGGCCGCAGCCTGGCAGCCTGGAAGTGCCCCGAGATCCCGGGGCCTGGCGGGCACTTTGGAAACACGAGGCTGTTGAGCTGCTGCCCAGATTCCCCCGGAGTCTGGCAAACTCCCGGCTCAGGGCGGAGGCGGCCTGCTAGGCAGGTGTTATCCCGCGCTGTGATTCTCAACAAAACAAACAGAAAACAAAGACGAGATACACCACAATGGGCAAAATCGCCTTTGTAACCGTTCCTCCTAGAGTGGCCGCGATGTTGCTAGCTGCTAACATGAAATGATACATTTCAACAGAGAAATGCATTTTTGTTATTGTGATAAGATTATACATGAAATTTACCGTTTTGACTTTTCAGTTCCGCGGCATCAAGCACATCTGCGCGGCTGTGCGTCTGTCCCACACTCCTGTTCGGTCCCACTCGGCCCCCATTCCGCACCAGCTCCCCAGCCCGCCCCCAGTCCCCCACAACCCCCCACTCTGGGGACCTCACATAGGTGGGATCACGCAGCATCTGTCCCTCTGTGGCTGGCTTATTGCACAGCATCGTGTCCTCGGGGTCATCCCTGTGGTAGCAGGTGCCAGAATTTCCTTCATTTTTAAGGCTCGTACTCTGCCGAGTGGACGGACCACACGTTGTTCATCTGTCCTCTGTCCGTGGACTCGCGGGTTGTTTCCGCTGTTGGCTGCTGGGAATGGTGCGCCGTGAACGGGGACGCGCTTGTAAAGCAGCAGGCCCCCAGAGAGCCCCTTGGCCCGAGCCGCTGTGCCGCTCTCCAAGCGCCGCGGGGTTGGAGCGCGGGTGTCACAGGGCCCGGGGACCCGCCTGGGCCAAGCTGGCCTGCTCCGCTGCTGAGTGGCCCCCCTGGGAAAAGCCCCGACTGCCCCCCCCCCACTTGATTCCGGATGCTCCTTGAAGGGATGGGCTCCCCTGACGCGGCCGTGTCCTCAGAGAACCGTGGGATGGGCTGGCGTCCTCTTAGGTCTGAGAGTTACTGTCACAGCAAAACAATAGCGAGAACAGTGGCGCTCGCAGCTGCTGACCACTGGCCTGCACGTTGCGCCCTCCCGGGGCTGGCACATTCCCGTCCTCATCCTCCAGGGACGCCAGCAGGGACATGTGTCCGCGTCTGGGGTTGAGGGAGGACCAGTCCTCTGAGGGGGTCTCACACCAGGGCGGGGGCAGCTGGGACTTGCAGCATGGCCTGTGGGGTTCCTGCTCCCGCCCCAGGGAGGCCGAGCCCCTAGGCCTGCAGGGGCTGAGGGCCAGGCGGCTGAGCACTGCAGCGAAGTGTGGAGGAGGCCGCACTGAGCTGGCCCAGCGGGGGGCTGAGTGCTGCGCTTTGAACTGGGGGCGGAGGGTGGGGCTCAGGTTTTCTTGCTTCTGCTGCTTCAAAGACGAGCCAGCTGGGGGGAGGGGCAGGGGGACATTCTGGCTGCAGGGTGCTTCCTCTTCCGGGTGGGCAGGAGCAGCAGGAAGGGCCCCGGAGGCCTCTGGCGCTGGCTGTGGCCCTGGGAAGGGCCCAGTGGAGGAGACACGGAGGTGAGGGACTGGGCCCTAAGCAGAGGGCTCTGGGGGTGCCGGTTCCTACGCTCCAGGCCCCAGAGCTGGGAGGGGGAGGATGGCAGCGACCCTTTCCCTGAGTGAGGGCTCTGAAGCTGGGCGGGGAGGGCAGGTGTTTGCCCCAGGCCACACGCTGGTCCGTGGGGGGCCAAGGGTCATTCCCAGATGTGCTGCCCCAGGGCCACTGGGCTCTGAAGTCTCCTGGTGGCCTTTGCAGCAACAGAGACCCTTGCTGCCACCTGCGGGACATGTGCAGGCCGGAGGGGCCAGGCCAGCCTGTATCTCCCTCCCGCGCGCGGGGCGCCGCACGCGTCAGGGCTGCCGTGCTGCTCCCCCGCACCAGGCCCTCCCGGTGACGCGTCCCCTCACGGGCAGGGTCCCCCCCGTCTGCAGCGGTCTCGGGGAGACCGGTGGGACGGCACTCGCGAGACCAGGGTGGCGTTGGGAGAGAGGCGATGCTGGGGGAGCCCCAGTTCACCTGCCGTGAGGTATGATGTCTGCTGACCGCCTGCCCCCTGGGGGGCAGGGGCGCAGAAAAGCCCCGTGTGTGGCCGGCGGAGTAACTGGTCTTCCCGTCCTCAGGTCCAGCTGGGAGCTCCCGGACCTCCAGGAGGGCAAGATTGAGGCCATCAGCGACTCGGACGGGGTGAACTACCCCTGGTACGGCAACACCACGGAGACGTGCACCATCGTGGGCCCCACCCGGAGGGACTCCAGGTTCATCATCAGCATGAACGACAACTTTTACCCCAGCGTCACGTGGGCCGTGCCCGTCAGCGAGAGCAACGTGGCCAGGCTGACCAACATCTACCGGGACCAGAGCTTCACCACGTGGCTGGTGGCCACCAACACCTCGACCAACGACATGATCATCCTGCAGACGCTGCACTGGCGCATGCAGCTCAGCATCGAGGTGAACCCCAACCGGCCCCTGGGCCAGCGCGCCCGGCTGCGGGAGCCCATTGCCCAGGACCAGCCCAAAATCCTGAGCAAGAACGAGCCCATCCCGCCCAGCGCCCTGGTCAAGCCCAACGCCAACGACGCTCAGGTCCTCATGTGGCGGCCCAAGTACGGGCAGCCGCTGGTGGTGATCCCGCCCAAGCACCGGTGACGGCCGGGGTGCCCGCCCGCGTAGACTCGGAGGACGATGCCACTCGAGCCAGCCCCACGTGGACGCCCATCATTCAGCAAAATACAACCATTCTACCTTGCCCAGCGGCGGTCTCACTGTGCGCATGCCCCAGGATGGCCTCCCGCCCCCTCGGGCGGAACCTGCTTCCGCGCGGGGACGGGGGAGGCCCGGCCAGGACACACCGACCCCACGTGCGCCCTTCAGCGTCCCCTGGGGTCCCCTTCCCTCCCCTTTTCTCTCAGTTTCAGTCATTCACTTGCAACGGACTCCCCGACACAACTGCTTTTCAGTCCTTTTTTTTTTTTTTTTTAAATGCCTCTTTAGGAGGTTCAGGGGCGGGAGGAGGAGGAGGAGCTGGCATGTGACGGACCCGCTCTTGCTGACCCGCGAGCGCGGGCCCTTCCATGGCGGCCCCCCTCGTCCTCCGTCACGTCACGCGGCCTTATGTAGACTTGCTTTGCCAAACTTTTGCCTTAAGCTGAATTTAAAGGAAGAAAACGGAACCAGACAGAGAAAGCAGGATCTCTTTTCTACTGGACCTTTCATCCTCTGCCAGAGGGGAGGGGGGTTGGGTCAGGGATGAGAGAGAGATGACCTGAGCCCCCTCCTCCTGGGCGTCTTGGGACAAGGGCAGGGACACAGATTTAGACCTAAAACCAGCTGCTTATTCTTGCGTTTCAGCAGAAACAAAACCACAGACGCTGCTTAAAGGGCCCGAGTAGAAGCCCCTCCCCACACCTGCAGAGAAGGACTGTGTGCTCTGTCCCCGCAGGCACCTTCTCCCCTCGGTCCCCTTGCTGTGGGTGGGTCTCGGAGGGAGGGAGGGTCCTGTGAGGCCTGGGTCCAGCCCAGGGGGTTTCCGCCCTCCATCCTCAGCCCCTGTCCTTCCCTGGCCGTCCAGCATCCTGAACGCCCTGAGGGCCGGCAGCCCAGGTTTAGTTCAAAGGGGAGAAGAAAAGCGCACCTCCCCCCCTCCCCCCCAGGCTCCTCCCATGGGGACACCCCTGCCAGGGGCTCTGGGGCAGATGAACCCTGAGCCACCGCCAAGCTGGAGGCGGGGCAGCCATGGAGGAAGCCCCCGGGGAGGACCTGGGGGGCAGCCGGCAGATACCCCCCTGCTGCCTGTCCTCAGGGAAGTAAACCAGGGCCCGGCCTGTGGGACCGGGTGGGCCCAGGGCTGAGAGGCATCAGAGCCGCTCCGGAAGCTGGCCTGGGTCAGCGTGGCCAGACCCCGAGGGCCACCCTCCCTGCAGCCCCGGGACCTCGTCTCAGCAGCGTCTGCCCTGACGGATGCCCCCTTCCTCCACGCTTGCCAAATGCACAGCTGTGACCCCCAGGGCCCCGCATGCAAACTAGCGATAGTCAAGCACAGAAAAACCGTCAGATAAGAAAAAGAACCCATTTCTGCTGCACATGAGCTACTTGCAGGAGTCCCAGGGACAACACAGGAGGCGGCCGGCCACCCAGGCGCTGCTCTGCTCCGTTGTCTCCGGGACAGTGTGTTTATTCAAGGGGTGCTCAGTGTCCGGTCCCCCTCCTGAGCCCCACGCCTGACAGAGGTGCACGGTGGTCTGAGGGCGACTGGATGGATGGCAAACCGCCTTGCGCCGCTGGCTGCCGGCCTGGTGCTCGGGAACCTGCCAGGCCCGGGACCTTCCCCTAGAAGCTGCCAGGTGCCCTCAGTGCCACCCAGAGAGTCCTTAGCTTTGAGGGAGGGGAGCAATGGGGGGTGGACCGGATGGAACGGGGTGTGGTGTCCGGCCGCGAGGACAGGACCCGGCCTCCCGGCGGAGTGGCCCTCCTCTGCACTCAGGTCTGGCACTACAGAGGGGCGTGGGCCCTGGCCAGGGGTCAGGAAGCGGGGTCCCAGCTCAGGGGCTCTTCCTGGCGTAGAAGGGGTGGGGCAGAGCTGCAGGCTGGTCCTGAGCTGTTTGGGGACAGAGCCCCCCAGCTTGGCCTTGGCGAGTGTGAGAAGCCTCTCAGCAGGGGTCAGCGCCATGCCTGCTTGGAGGGGGACCGCTGCACGGGCCTGGCCCCACCTCACCCACCCCAGGCCCCTTGCTCTGCCCTCCGGGTGTTTCTGAAGACCCTGGAGGGGCTGCAGGTCTGGCCGCAGGTGCCGGGTTTAGCTTGGGGCGGGTCCCCGGCGTCCTTCCTTGTGTCAGGAGCACAGACCCCGGGCTCCCAGCCGGGGCCCCCGTCCCTCTGTCCCCTCCCCCAGTGTGGACACCCTCGTCCAGCAATAAGGACCGTCCGCGGTCATGGAGAGTACTGTGAAAATAAACCAGTGCACTTACCAGGAGGCACGAGACTGGAAGATAATGTAAAATGAACCTTTACTAAAAGCAAATATTCACAGAGAAATAAAATGTAATTTTAAAGTAGGGCTGGCCAGGGTCTGGCTGTTGCTGAAGCGGCGGTTCGTTTTAGGGGGCGGCTCTGTGTGTCTGGCCAGGGCCGTGAAAGGCTTTGGGGGCCTGGTGTCCAGGGCCCGGGAGATCCTGGGAGGGGGCCACCACGTCCTTGCTGCTGCCTCTGTGGGTCTGCAGCCCTGGGACCTCAGTCCCCACCCAAAGTGCCCCTGGCCAGTGCCCTACAGGCAGGAGGGGTGGCAGGCTTGGGGGTGGCGCCAGGACTGGGGTGCAGCCCTGCTTTTTGGCAGACAGTAGGATCCCACATGAAGGGGGCTTAGTGTACAGACAGGGCCCTTGCCCACCGACCTGCACACCTGTCCTCGCAAGGAGAGGTGGCTGCCAGGTGACACCACCTGCGCGGCTCTGTCCACCCTCGGCCGGCAGCCGAGGAAGGGGGCTGTGTGGGCTTGGGGCCCCACCGGTTCACACCGTCTTCTAATCAGACGACAGAGCCTGGGGAATGCGGAGTGGGGGGCGGCGCTCTGAGGGCAACACGTGGACTCGGGGCCACCTGTGTGAGTTGGGGCACAAGGCTGAGTCCCACTTACCCTGTGGGAGACCGGGGTTCTCCGAGGAGCCGCCGCCTCCCACCTGACGCCGCGAGAACATGGTGTTCTCGGCGCCCAGGTGCTGCCTCACCTGCAAGTTCTCAGGGTCCCTGTCTCACAGGTGAGGACGCTGAGGGAGAGCCGAGGTGGGCGGCTGCCCGGGGCCGTGCGCCTGGGAAGGGGCAGCTGCAGAACGGCACCCCGGCCCCAGAGCCCAACCCCTGCGGAGCGAACATCCGGTGCTCAGTACGACTGTCACTCCGCAGGCCCCGTGCCTTTGGCTCACCCCGTCCTGGGCTCCCGGGCCGGAAGTGCCTTCCTGCCCCCTCCCCACCCCTGCAAGTGTGTAGCTGGTGCAGAGTCGGTTCTCCTCGCCCACGGGGAGCCAGCTCATTCCCTTCGGGGAGGGGCTGCCTAGTCGGTGGGCCCGCCCACCGGGACGGCCACTCGCTTTGGGCATCGCATCGCGGTTGGCTCTCCCCTGGGTCCCCCACGTTGCCGGAACCCGACAGTGCTCTGCCTCCTGCCTCCTGCCTCGAGGACACCACAGCAGGAAATTGCATAACAGGCTCTGCTGGCCGCCCTCCACCCAGATGGCTCATGGGTGGTGCAGTTCAGTGTCGCGGTTTGGCTTTCGGTTGAGGCGTTGGCTCCTGAGCTCTGCCCGAGGGAGGCTGAGGGTTGTGTGCGTGCGCGGGGAGCGAGGGCGGAGGGCAGGGCAGGCCCAGCCGACGGCCGGAAGAGGCTGCATGAAGCCGAAGTGGCTCGGGCATTCGAGCCTTCCCGCAGCCATGAGGCTGAGTGAGGACAGCAGCCTGCACGTGGGGCGACACTTGGGAGGGGCCTGTGCAGGGAGGGGGTTACGAGTAAAGTGCATTCCAAGTGGTATTTAGTCCTCCAGCCTTTCGAGCTGATAGCAGGTTAAATTTAGAAGTCCCAGGCCGGCATGAAACAGATACCAGGCTCGAGCCAGCTGCCACGGCAGAGCCAGCCCACCTGCCCCAAGACGCCTGCGGGGAGCAGGTGCACCGCCCCCCGGCTGCTGCCTGCCATCCCCCTCTGAAGTCACACTGGGGCGAGCCCAGCTCTGCTCTGGGCACAGACTCTCTGCAGGGCAGCGTCTGAGGCTATAAGGGTACCCTTTGGTGCGAGAAGGGCAAGTTTCCAGGGCGGTGCAGAGAGGCGATGCTGGCGGCCCTCGCAGGCCCTTGGCTGCTTTCCAGCAGCCTGGGGGCTCTTTCCGTCACTCTGGCTTCATTTGGCTCTTGGTCACTCTCTCTCCCGCCTGTCTGGACATTCGATTAAGGCAAGCGCTGCAGGTAGCAACAGGCCACTGCGCACCCGCACTATTCAGAAGTGACCACCCCCAAAGCACGGGAACCCAACCAAGTCGCGCAGAGACGCCCAGCCGGGCCCGGCCCCTCCAGTCCCCACTGTCACATCGGGGTGTGCATCCCTGCTGACACATGAGGAAACAGACCTCAGGGAGGGTCGGGGACCTCCTGAAGGTCACTCAGCTGGGAGGTTGCAGAGCCATCTTGTGCCCCAGGGCTGCCTGCTTCTTTGGCGACACCACCCAGCCCTTCCACACTCACTTCTCGGGGCTAACAGCTGGGATGGGGGCTGCTGGACAGCCGTGGGCAGCCCCGCTGGCGCCGGCCGACGGGAATTGTTGAAGGCAAGCAAACACGTCTGAGCAAATGCGCTCCATCCCTGTGCCTGTGTCCAGAGAGGCAGACGCACAGGACATCGGTCCGGCAGCTGCCAGCCGCTCAGACCAGGCACAGCCTGCCCCACCCCAGCCCCCGCCCTGGAGAAGGAAACGCAGACAGGGTCAGCCCCTCCCTGGCAGCTCAGGTTTAAGGACCGCTGCCCTGCTTCGTTTGTTATGGCCCCTTTAAATCGGACAGATGAAGGATGGCGCACTGGGTGTTCACACAAGTGAGGCGCAGCTAGAACCCCGTGCTATTCTTGGCTGCCACTTGACTTGCTGACTGAGGCCCGGCGGGCCGCCTGACCTCGCCTGCTGGCTCCCGTCCGCACGCGGGGACGCGCACACCTGGCCCCACCTCCTGTCAGACCCTGTGGAGCCGGCAGCTATGGGCCGTGTTTGACATGCACAGGGGCCGCCTGGGAGGGAGGGCACAGGCCGGTGTTTGCATTAAAGACCAGGGCCTCCCCTCTCAGTGGGTCTGAAGTCCCTGCTGCGGCCACACGGCAGGGCTGGACCATCTAGGGTTCTCAGCACCGACAAATACACAGAGCCCACCAGCCTGCCAGCCTGCTGGCCGGCCAAGTATCTCCATTTTTCACAGCGTTACTGAGATACAGTTCACATAGCATACAATCCACCCACTCAGGGCATATGATCCTGTGGTTTTTAGCAAACCCATAGGGTTCTGCTGCCATCGCCACGGTCCCTTGCAGGGCATCCCACAGCGCTGACCCGCTGGCTCTTGGAGGCCCCTATTCCGGACAGTTCCTGCGAACGGGGTCCGGCGTGTGCCGCTTCCGGCTGCTCCCGCTCAGCATCGTCTCAGGCTCGCCCCGGTGGCAGCAGACGGCAGCGCGCCCTTTTGACGCGTGCTGTTGATCACCTCCTGTGCACCAGGTGCTCTGCTGGTTGTCGTTGAAGCAGCAGCAGCTCAGAGCACACAGTCCCCAGAAGACAAATGAAACGTTACAAAGAACTAACGTGACAGCGACAGGGGGCTGGGGGGTAGGAAGACACAGGAGGGTCTGGAAGGCTTTCCTGGGGAGGAAGCTTTATCCACAACGAAGATGTGAACAGACTGGAGCGTCCTGGCCTCACAAGGGGGCGAGAAGAGAGGAAGCAGTGCCCGCGGGCACAGGCTCTGGGGCCAAGAGCCGCGGGTGGCTGAGGACTACCTGGGGAGACAGCACCGGGTGCAGAGCTGGGCCTGGGCAAGTGTTGTAGGAGCAAGGGAGGGAGGGGCGTCTGGGCTCCGTGCAGGCTCTGCAGGGAGCGAGGCACAGCGGCCGCCTCTGGTAAGGGCTCCGCCGGCCCCGCTGGGAGGCAGCACCTGTGGACGCCCCTCTGCCCGGAGGGACTGCAGCTGTGGCGGCGCCCGTGTGCCACGTGTGAGGGACCGTGTGCCTCTCTTTTAGGAAGAGAGGTTCCGTGGAAGAACAGAGTCCACGTGCTGAAGTCCCTGCCCGCCTGGGCTGCCCCACGCAGGTCACTTTTCTTGTCAATCCTGGTAACAACCAGACGAGGACGCTGCAGAGGGTCGTGGTGCGCTCACCGGGGTTGGCATGCCTGCTCCGCCCCTCCCTGGCTGCGTGACCTCAGCAGGGAACCTTAGCTCTCAGGCCTTGGTGTCCTCAAACATGAAATGGGTCAAAAGTGGCTGCTGACCTCACAGGATGTGGCAGGCGTCCAAAGGCCAGCTGATGCAGAGCACCCGCAGCAGTAACTGGCACACAGTAGGTGCTCAGCGAACTCGAGCTATCGATGCCGGCAAGCAAGCCCCGAGCCTCGGCCTGTGTGCGCGGGTGCCAGGCGGGGCTGTGGCGCTCTCCTCCCAGGCAGGGGTCGGTGGGCTCCCCAGCACAGCCCTGAGCACGGGGCCTCAGCAGGGCAAGACGCCGCTAGGTGTTTGCTGCCACTGACCTTGTAAGCAGATGTTGAACAGTTCTCTCTTCCACACCAGTTTCAGCTGAGATGTGGGAGGCTGGTACCTGC